TAACCAGATAAATATTTATGAGCGTCCCTTGAATGAAATTTTAAAATCTAACAACATTTTTATTATTGTTTATAAATATTTGTTGCAAAATATAATCTTCACATTTACCTTGATAAAGTCCGTCAGAGAACGAAACGCGTCGGTTAAGATAAGTTTTTCTTTTCTCTTCATATCCACGCACACACACACATATATATATATGTGTGTGTGTCTGTGTAATGATACAAGACGAAGCGGAGAACAATGCGTGAAGGAGTAAAAAATAGAGGCTTGCCCTACCAGGACTAAAGAGCCCAGCCTATCCTATTATTTATGGAGATTTAAATTCAGTTTTTCTTGTTCTAGGCTTGCTTTTTCTCAAGGTACGAAAGCCCAGTCTGCTCATGCAGGCTACACTCACAAATATCCTCACACGATAATTGACCAAAGGCAAGAAACATCACAAACAATGAGATACCAACCGGAGAACTCTAAAAATACACAGTTCCCGACTTGTTTCTAGAAGAAAAAGAAAATCATCTTCCCTTGAACCAATTCGATTTTGGCAGACATAATAAATAACATATCATTTTTGTTCATAGAATTAATTAACCAATAAAATGATTCGGCAAAAAAAAAAAAAAATCTAGCAACCAGGCTAGTCCAAAAGCAAATAAAAGCAAGCTGGCAACTAGAAAATGTTAATAGTAGAAGATTCACTCGCGTCAAAAGGACCGACTGTTACTGCGGCGGCTTCAAAGTAACATGGTTGACTGCTACTTAAACCTACTGCCAGACAGATGCAGTACCAAAAATTTGCTCTGACTTATAAAACTAAGACAAAGATTAGTATTAAAATTTAACGTCTTTTTGCGGTAAAAAAAACCAAAAACATTGTTTTGGAAATTCTTGCAAAAATCAAATAATTGTCAGATTTTAATGAAATTTCCAGGACTTATTCACAAATGAATGAAATTATTTTTCGAAAATCTTGGTAAAAATTATTATTTTTTTTTTTTACATCTAACATTTACATTTAATTTTTTTTTTAAATTTCGAGAAATTAAAATTTCTCTTCATATCTAGTTATTTTTTTCCAATGGATAATGAATTTTTACAAGAATTATTATTATTATTATCATTTACTCCGTATGTTCAACTTTCTGTAGTCTTAGCTTTAAAACAATAAAATACGGTTGAGAAAAATGTTTCACAAACGAAGGACCACTGGATAAAATTTAATGAATTTGTATAATGTTTACTAACATTCTTCTGGACTGATTATGTTTTAAACTTTGTGAACAATACGTGGCGGCCAAGGGGAGTAACATGGTATTATACCTATGCACCCTACTGTATTAAGTAAAAAGTATATTTTTTTTACTAATCATATAAATGGAAAAGCTTAGTATAATTTATCAACTCACAACATTTTAAAAATATTTTTGTATGTGTAGGTATAAACGTGCCAATTTCTGTAAATACGGACGTTCATACACAGCATTATCAGAAATTAAGAGAGTAAATAGTAAGTTTAAACTAAAGCCAAAGCACCTAATAAAACATTACTTGGTAGTTAAAAATGATATAAAAAAAAGGTGCTCGCGTTATATTCAAGTAATTTTTACAGATTTGTCCACCGTAGAAAAAAAGAATTAAACTTAGTCTGCCAGTCAAATTGTCAACACTTTAAACACCTAACCCCGTGTTAAAAAATGCTTTTCTGTGATATTTTAAACTTAAAGTAATATTTGTGTCAAATCAGCTAATATTCCTTAAATAAAGTTTTAAAAGTATATTTTCTTTTTGAAAAATGGCGCTAAATCAGCAATTGTTAGCGATTCCAAAGCAAAAACTCCTTCAATCAGTTTAGTTTTTTGAAATACAGCAAAGTATTTTGCAGCAAAATACTTTCTTTGCTGTATTTCAAAAAACTAAAACTGATTGAAGGAACATTGGAAATATTAAACTTTTACTGGCTTGAAATTAAAACTAAAATAAAAGCTTCAATAAAGATTTTCCATTTTTAAAACTTCATTTTAAACCTTAGGTATCGCATTTCTGTGACGGTACAAAACAATTAATTAAGACTAACAAAGCAATAAAAAAAAAAAAAATGCACGCATGCTCCTAAATTTGAAATACAAACAGATAAATTCAAAAATGATTATCTTCGAACCAATAATTCTTTTCTAAGAAAAGATTTTTTAAAATGTTAAGTTAAAAATTAAAATTATCATCAAGCCATTTCTTTTTTTTTTTTTTTTAAATATTACAAATTTTTTAGTCTGGTACGAAGTCGGAGTCATGGGTACCAAGACGAGATCGAACACGCTGTGCTAACGAGGTTGCAAAAAAGCTCGCTTATTCAATAATTAAAATATAACTTCAAATTTTACATTTAAATAAAACCTTTTACCTTAAATTTTAAGGTAAAAGGTTTTTTTTTATCTGTTCTTGAAAAACAGATAAAAAAAAACTCCCTAAAACTAAAACAGAAAAGAAAAATCGAGAATAACCCCTATTTTAGCCAAGAAATCACTTTTCACTACTATTTTTCTCAACATGTGTTAGCGAACTCCCGTGTGCGCGTACACATCTCATGTGCTTCCTCCTTCTCCTCCTCCTCCTCCGTTGTGTTAGTGAACAAAAAGACGCTCTGTCAAGATTTGTAGTCGAACATTGCATCTGTCGTACTTAGACGAGTTCGCTCTTGATCCTAACTGCAAAGAAAGAATAAAGAAAACACCTTCAACGCAAGAAAACGAAGGAAAACTGAAACAAAGAATAAGAAAAGTACATCTACATCGGATTTATAAAAAAAAAATCCCTGCCTTTTTCCTGGCAATGTCGGAATCTGCAGACTACAAAGCAGTCAGCAAGGATGACGAAAGCCCATCAGTCGAATCTAACGAAGGGATCAGTTTAAAACCCAAGGTATCTTTACTAAATGGAGTGACTGTGATCGTTGGTAGTATTATTGGATCCGGCATCTTCGTCAGTCCCAAAGGAGTTCTTATTAATGCCGGTAGTGTAGGGTTGTCTCTAATTGTATGGATACTATGTGGTTTATATTCGATGATAGGAGCATATTGCTATGCTGAACTTGGTACGGCGATAATGAGATCTGGAGCCGATTATGCTTACATTTTCGAAGCTTTCGGTGCCTTCCCAGCTTTTTTGAGACTGTGGGTTGAATGTATGATCGTTAGGCCCTGTTCACAAGCTATTGTGGCCCTTACCTTCTCGTATTATGTGATCGAACCTTTATTTCCTGATTGCGAACAGCCTGCTATTCCTGTGACCCTTCTTGCTGTCATCGCTATCCGTGAGTAAAAAGAAAAAAAAAATGTTTTTTTTGTTTTTTTTTAATTTTTGCCCTCCACCTTCTCAGCTAACATAATTTATTTGTAGATTGCTTAAAATAAAAGAAACTGGGCAGGTGAATACCTGTACAATACTAATTTCAATTAAGGTGTAATAATAATACAAAAAAGAAAAAAAAAATAAGACAGTTTCATTGACAATGTCGAAATAAACCGACATAAAACGTGATTCTTCTGTTTCGTAGCAAGCAGATTAGTTTTTCTACAAGAGATGGTTTTTTTGTATACCCGTTTTTCTACCTACAAAGACTACATACCGCCAGTTAAAAAAAGATACTTACTTAACTAAAAAATACACATAAATTAATTAATTTAACCACGCTGTCTTCATCCACGTGTTTCTTTTATTTATTTATTTTTTTCTTGTATGAGACTCGATTGCATCATTTATTTTAATTTTTATATTTTTAGGAAAAATTTTTGTGAACGATATTCTTTTTAATACACGTACAACCGTGTCATTTTAAAAACCTTTTTTCGTGCTAGTTTTTTTATTATTTGTAAGGTAAGATTGCATTTATGCATATTTAAGTTATTTTTACTCATTGAATCCAGTATACTAGCTGGTCAGTTGGTTTTGGTATGCTAGTAAAAAGAAAAAGTCTAACAATGTAGAATCCATTTTTTTTTTTTTTTTTTTTTTTTTTTTTTCCAACTATGATCAGTCCTCACTTTTGAGACGAAAAAGATACTAGCAAAATATACAGTGAGTGAGAGAATACTTCTTGTAATTTAATTGAAACTTAAGCCAGTATCCATTGAAGACACGCGCGCGCACACACACGTGTTTTTCAAGTTTTTGTCTGTGTAAGAAAACAAACTTTAGTGCACTCGTGTATAAGTAGTAATCAAAAAAATAGCTAGCGTATTAAAATTTGAATGGCCTATTAGAAAGACACACAGGATATATATAACCTCGACGAAAAGCGACCAAAATAAAATTACAAAAAATAGTAAAAAAAAAAAAAGAGATCACGACTTTTTTTTTTTTTTTTCCAATACCATGTTGACTTGAAAAAGACCTTCGAATTTAAGAAATTCGAAAACTAATTTTGCAACAGGTCGTAATCAGTCAACTAAAATTTTACTAAAATGCTACTTTACCATAACGCCAAGCAACTCCCTTATCCTAGGGCCTAAATAGATAACCAAAGCCGGTTAGAGGAAAAAAAAAAAAAAAAAACTACGTGGCAGCTTCTCTAATAAATCAATACGCCTGTACTACCTTTTCTCTTGTAGCTAATAAAAATATTAATTTATGAACTTTTCTTTCTCTCTCAGACATCCATTTCTACAGTTTATTTATTATAAAATTTAAAAGAAATCAGCTTGCTCATATTTTTAATTTTTACATAAAACCTTTCATGCAATGGAAATAAGTTACTACTTAAATTTTTACCATAATTATTGAAATTTATTTAGTTATGATTGACAAATTGCACTCTCTCTAACCGTTACAGTACGCCTCTAAGTGAATGATGCAATATTCTTACAAGTTTCATGTTCACTTTTTAACTTATAATTTCTAAGTGCTCTGTCTTCGGTTCTGGTGGTTTACTTGCATTTTTATTTTTTTTAATTCCGCGCCCTTAGTTCATGAAAGTGAAAAACCATAAAAATTATTCATAATTAAACTTTTTACTTGTCTCTAAAACTTAAAGTGAGCTATTTTGCAAGAAGATTTTTTTTATTTGTTTGTATTTTTTAAACAAAGTACTTCATTTAGATTAGATCTTATTATTTTTAAACATTTTTATTACGGATTTTGTAAGTTAAGTGGGCGAACACGGCAGTGTATACGATCTGTGAGGTTTTTTTTTTTTTTTTTTTTATTATTATCCCATTCATACTTAAGCGCCCCGCTCATAAAACACGATAACCACCTCAACACATTTTATTTTTATTTTATGGTGGTAAATTCACTGGTTTTGTTTTGTTTTGGTTTTTTTTTTTTTGGTTTTTGTTTATTATTTACTTTGTTAAATTTTTTTTTAAAATTAAGCATCTTTGTACCAATCTCCACTTTAAAGCATTTTTTACATAAATGATTGAGTATTTTAATAAAAATTGAAAGTACTAGTAAACCAGACGATGAATATGCGGAAAGAGGCTAAAGAACAATTAACAAAACAAAACACGAAAGTAAAAAAAGATCCCATACAAATGCAGAATTTTTCATAAACTAAATTAAAGAAAATGTACAAGGCGAACATGGAATGTTACATATGTTTTGTGTTGAAATTACTACTTAGCCAACAATGCAACTTTTTTTTTTTAATTAGGAAATTCATTTCGGTAAAAAATCAGCTTTGCTATTGTTTATTTTTAATTCAAACTTGTAACTGAAGGAAGATAAGCATTTAAAAAAACAGATGTGAATCTGTAGTAGTTACAGATCAATTTTATTTTTACTTTACAAATACTGATACTCTGATGGAGCTAGAGCGGATTTTGGTGGACGAATTTCATCACACCATAGTGAAACTGGCCGGATGAAATTGTTCGGCTTTTTATTGTTTAGAGTTTATTGTGCAATATATAGTTGTAGAAAGTTAGGGTATTTCGTTGGCCCTACTTCATTGCAAAATGCAAACTTTTTTACAGACGGTATCTGTGTAATAGATCAAAAAATAGGAAAGAAAGATAAATAAAAGTTTAAGTAACTGTAAGTGTAACTAATTTTAAGTGCGCGTTTTGCTTTTGCGAGAATACTTCGGGTTTGTTTTTTAAAAATTATTTTGCATTTTCTTGTTTTATTTTTAAACTATTTTCTCTTTATTTACTAATGTCATAAATAAATATTAGACGCGAATAAACTTTGAAGATAAAATTAACCATATATAACTGCTGGCTTAATTACACAGAACTTTTTTTTTTTCAGTACTGATACAATTTATCTTTTCACGTGTAGTAGATAGTAGCTTTTTAGCACGAACTTTTTATCAACTAAAAACTCTTTCGTTGTTTATTCTCCTCTCTCTCAGTTGGGAATAGGTGAATTGAAATTCGTAAGAGGATGTAAAAAAAACATTTTCAGCTATTTTTTCCCCCTCATAACATCACAAATTTAGTCATTTTCCTTTTTGTCAATCAAAGATGGCCAATTTTTCTTTTTAGTTATCTAACACAGCATTATTTCATTTTATTTTTAAATTTTAATTATTTTTGAGTCCTTTTGGCAATTTTTAATCAAAGGGAAATAACTTTTTTTTTTTTTTTTTTTTTGCTATTTGGTTTGTACATATTTCTCTAAAATTGTTTGGCATAAACACAAGACGTTCATAAGACTCGAAATATCGTTATTTTTTTTAAACTTAATAAATCAGTTGAAGTCTACTAGAAAAATTCTTCAACATAAAATTAAGATTTTCACGAAATTTGTTTAATTCTTCAAATCAAGTTTCAAATAGTGACTAATTTTCAAATTGACCAGATGTTATGATTGCTTCATTGCATCACTTGATTGATTGATTCGTTGTCTACGGATTATCAACTCTTCTGATTATTTAAGGCTAGGAAATATTTTTAAATTGTGTGGAATAAGTATTATCTTCAAAGTGCAAGATGGTGTATAAACCCTTCCCATTTACATTTATGAAGTTAGGCTCAGAACTACTGGTACAAGAGTAATAGCCTCCCAGATACCTTGACATCACGTAAGAATTGGATAATTTTTTTTTTCTCTTATCTGCTTTTCTTAATACGATAAAACTTCTTTCATTTGTAACTCATAATTTTGGGAATGGATTTGATTTATCAATAACATTTCCAAATTAAAGATAGCTGTACTAGATTTTTTTTTTTTTTTTTTATATATAAAAATTCATTTTACAATTATTTATTGCTCACAAACCAAGGTGATCCTTACCAGGCCTGGGATCCATGACTGGGGGAGGACATGTGGAGACCTGAATTACAACTAAATATAACAATTACTGAGAACATTGTTTTTTAGCAAGGAACCTGTTAGTAATGTTCAGTAATTAGTTATTTAGCAGCTATATATAATATTAGGAAGAATCTTACAATTATTGACTTACAAAGAAAGAGCAAAAATACCATAAAATAACTAAATGCACAAAAAATCACTTTATTCACCATAAATTAGACATTTTTAGATGATATTGCAAAAATGATTTCATTTGTTTATACTAATTAATCACAGAAAATATAATTATATAATCAGAAAGCAATTTCAGCATTTTAAAAAATTGTGTATTGACAAAGTCTGAAAATATTTTACAAAATATGAATTTCCGAGAAACAATAATTTTGATAATCTTTATAGAATATATTGTGATTTTTGTTACATGTAAAAAAAATTTTCACAGAAGATGAAGAAAATACTTATTTCACTATGATACTATAATAAATATTACCAGTATATATAGTATTAAAAATTAAAATCAATTTACAAGAACACAAAATTAACAGGATAATTTGTTGAGTTAACCAATTAAATATATGTAAAAAGGGGGAAATTGAAAATAAAAATAAAAAAAATTTGGTATCCCTGTGGTATCCAGTAGAATTTTTAAATTACCACAATCTATTTCTTTCAAAAAATGATCACATTCTTGAAAATATAGTATTAAATATTTCCTTTTCTGTGGGACAATCTTTTGTTGTAACATAGCCTGCTATACACAAAAGTGACCTTTAGGGATCCTAGTTTCAAGGTTTGGTAAGTCATATTCTTTGGCATCAGCATTTAATTTAAGAAATAGTTTAGTTTTTTTCCAATATGAAATTTTTCAGTTTTGGACTGTTATAAATATACTCCTCCAGAAATTTGTTTTAATTTTCCTGATAGTCTGTGGTAAATTCACCAAACATAACAAAATTAAACTCATTACTTAGCAAATACCTACAAACATCAATTAATCCATTGCATGTATGTTCAATGGCTAAACTAATATCTCTTGTTAATGATTTCATTCTT